TATATTGAGGTATACATCATCAAAACGACTTCATACAGAGCAGGATCATATTTGTTGTGTTACAGTAAAGGGAGTCATAATGCGATAGCTACATATTTTCAAAGATTACCTGACAGATCTGAAAAAATACAAGAGGCATCGTTAACAGGAATGCAGGGAAAGTGATGCTGGTACCTTCACTCTGGAGGAAAGCAGAGATAAATAAGACATTTCTGCTGAAGATAGGGTTATCTCCACCCTGCTGTGCCACCTGTGTGGCCAGAGCGTGGAACTCTAGAACATAGGACTTTCAGGCATATAGTGAATATGATGGTTAGATGTCCATAGACTCCTTTCTGAGCTTGAAAATATTATCAAAAGCTAAATTAGACCCTAAAGAATATATCATATGGACAGAAATTTGTGGACAACAGACCCCAGATCCATATGAGCATGTTGGACATCCCATTCCAAAACCATGGGCACTGATACAGAGCCCGCCTACCCCTTTGAAACTATAACAGCCTCCACTCTCCTGGAGAGGCATTCCACAAAATGTTATAGCATGTCGATGGGATTTGTGTATTCAGCCAAAAAAAGCATTTGTAAGGTCAGGTATTTGTCAGACAAGAGGACCTGGTTGGGTTTTGGCCTTCCACATCCCAAATCCGTTCAGTAGGATACATCTATATGAGCTTGTTCGGCATCCCATTCCAAAACCATGGGCAATAATATTGAGTTGGCCCCCATTTACGACAATAACACCCTTCACTCTTCTGAGAGGGCTTTCCTCGAGATTGTGGAGTGCATCTGTGGGAATTTGTGCCCATTCGGCCAAAAGAGCAGTTGTGAGATCAGGTATTTGTCAGACAAGAGGACCTGGTTGGGTTTTGGCCTTCTACATCCCAAATGCATTCAATAGGGTACATCTATATGAGCTTGTTCGGCATCCCATTCCAAAACCATGGACAATAATATTGAATTGGTCCCCATTTACGGCAATAGCACCCTTCACTCTTCTGAGAGGGCTTTCCACGAGATTGTGGAGTGCATCTGTGGGAATTTGTGCCCATTCAGCCAAAAGAGCATTTGTGAGGTCAGGTATTTGTCAGACAAGAGGACCTGGTTGGGTTTTAGCCTTCCACATCCCAAATGTGTTCAGTAGGATACATCTATATGAGCTTGTTCGGCATCCCATTCCAAAACCATGGACAATAATATTGAATTGGCCCCCATTTACAGCAATAACAGGACGAGGAACAAAGGGGTCCCCCTGATGCCGTTCGGGCTGCCTGGGTCGCTATGGCATTGCAGGCTGCTGGCTGTCACTGGTGGCTGTGAGAAGAAACGCGTGGCTGTCCAGATCACTGACAACCTGCTGAGTCAGTGACAGCCAGCAGCTGCAATGGAGGAGGCTGTGGCCCGGTGGTGGAAGCGGAGGTGAAGCCCAGTGGCGATGGAGGCGGGGCCCGGCGGAGGAAGAGGTGAAGCCCAGTGGCGATGGAGGCGGGGCCCGCCGACGACCCAGGAGGAGGCAGGGCCCAACGGTCGAGAAGGCTGACAGCGGATCGGGGCTGACAGGTAAGAGGTGTGCAGGGGTGTGACCAGCTCACCTGAGACCCAACAGAGCACTCCATAGAGAGTCTATGGTGGGCTCTGCAGGGTCATTCTCAGGTGGGCTGTGTGGGATCTCAGGTGGGCTCTGCAAGGGGCGTAACTAGAAATCAATACAAAATCTTGCTATGGGGCCCAGTGATTTCTAGTAACGCCCCTTGCAATGTATATTTGTTTGATCTGGATTCATTATATAAAAAGTATCTCAGAGGTTAACACTACTTTAAGCTGCCTGTGAAATCTGCAAAGTCAGCAAGTGGCCATACCGTGTACGCAGACTGAGTCTGAGGAGGTATGACATTGCATACACTGTATATCTGTATTTGACACAGAACAGCTGTCCTGCTCATCCAGAGGTTTCCATACTTTCTGAAAAGTGTATAGATTTAGTGTACAGATTACTTTCTGACCTTGAGTTAGTATATAGTTTATGTATATAGATTACTTTCTGACTTTGAAAAATGTATAGAGTTACTATATAGATTACTTTTGGTCCTTGAATGAGTATATAGGTCTAACCTGTATGCTTGTTCCAGACCAGAAAGTCCTGAAGCCAGAGGCAGCCAGGAAAGTAGTATTTTTCTCAGCCCAGGTTACACTCCAGCCATTATAAGGACATTACTGTAACAGGGTCATGATTTCCTTCGAAGGTTCCCGCATCCTCGTGTGTTTGTTTTGCCATGTTAGCGGCATTGTGCTGTGTCATGTGGGTATGGTCAGCTCCATCCGTCCATGCACTCGGGTCGTACGTTCCTCTCTCCAATGCTCTGCATTATTTAAGCAGAAGGGGGAGCTCAATGGATTAGAAATGCATTTGTCTTTAAGCAAAATGTGGATCTCCTACCCAAGTACCATTAACCATTTGCTGGCAGCTTGAGCCGGCTTCCTTCCTTCACACGAGGATGAGGATCCTTATTTATAAATAAAAAGAAAAGTGTTTTCTGGTTATAATGACGCCAGCCCCAGCAAAAGGCTTCACAGCAAGCTGATCAGGGAACCTCTAAAAAAGGTGACGTGACCTCACCTTAGGTCTATGTCAGGGGTTGGCCAGTCAGCTGTTGTGGAACAACAAATCCCATGAGGCTGTGCAAGACTGACAGCCTGACTCTACAGGCAGGGATGCTGAGGTTGCCTAACTCTGGTCTATGAGATTGCGGTCACATTCTTCGGGCTGCTCTATCAGTAAACCTCCGTGCCATCCCGGTCGGATTAATACAGATGTTCCGCAGCAGCAGACAAATGTCACGTGCTTACTCAGCATAGGGCTGCAAAGAGTAAGTTCACACCTGGGCGATCTGTGAACGCGCGGCAATCGTGCAGGATACCGCGCGGATTGCCACGTGGTCACCCGCCACCGACAATCGCACTGGCGGTGCCATTATTTACTAATGGAACCCCGGGTTGCGCGGTTTCCTGCTCCCTTTCCACCCGTACAACTGAACACGATCGCGGCATAAACAGCCTCGAGTTGCAAAAAAGGGTACATGTACCGTTTTCTGCGATGGCCGCACGGTTGTGCCCCATTGAAATCAATGGGGCCGCGCGGCAATTGCTGTGTGCAATTGCGCGCAACCGCGAGGTCCCAGGACGCGCATCCTCTCTCTTCAGCTCTCTCTCCATCGATCTCTCTCTCCAACGATCTCTCTCTCCCCATCGATCTCTCTCTCCATCTATCTCTCTCTCTCCATCGATCACTCTCTCTCCATCGATCTCTCTCTCTCTCCATCGATCTCTCTCTCTCCATCGCTCTCTCTCTCTCTCCATCGATCTCTCTCTCTCTCCATCGATCTCTCTCTCTCCATCGATCTCTCTCTCTCTCCATCGATCTCTCTCTCTCCATCGATCTCTCTCTCTCCATCGATCTCTCTCTCCCCATCGATCTCTCTCTCTCTCCCCATCGATCTCTCTCTCTCTCCATCGATCTCTCTCTCTCCATCGATCTCTCTCTCTCTCCCCATCGATCTCTCTCTCTCTCCCCATCGATCTCTCTCTCTCTCCCCATCGATCTCTCTCTCTCTCCCCATCGATCTCTCTCTCTCTCCCCATCGATCTCTCTCTCTCTCCCCATCGATCTCTCTCTCTCTCCCCATCGATCTCTCTCTCTCTCCCCATCGATCTCTCTCTCTCTCCATCGATCTCTCTCTCTCCAACGATCTCTCTCTCTCTAACGATCTCTCTCTCCAACGAACTCTCTCTAACCATCGATCTCTCTCTCTCCCCATCGATCTCTCTCTCTCCCCATCGATCTCTCTCCATCGATCTCTCTCTCTCTCCAACGATCTCTCTCTCTCTCCATCTCTCTCCAACGATCTCTCTCTCTCCATCGATCTCTCTCTCTCCAACGATCTCTCTCTCTCCAACGATCTCTCTCTCTCTCTATCATATCTCTGTATCTACCTATCTGTAATCTCTCATCTATTATATATTGGATTATTTATCTATTCATCATCTATCTATTATTTATCCTGACCTCTTCCCTACTTCTTCATTGTACTAAGCATGTGGGTACCCTAAAGGTGCTCACTGTGCATACCTCTCCCCGAGTCAGGTAGGTACATATCAGAGTGCACACCTCTCCCCGAGTCAGGTAGGTACATATCAGAGTGCACAGTGTGCATACCTCTCGCCGAGTCAGGTAGGTACATATCAGAGTGCATAAACCTCTCTCCCCGGTTCAGGTAGGTATATATCAGAGTGCACAGTGTGCATACCTCTCTCCCCGGGTCAGGTAGGTACATATTACCATGCAGAGAGTGCATACATCTCTCCCCGGGACAGGTAGGTACATATCACAGTGCATGGTGTGTGTCCATCTCTCCCCAGGTCAGGCAGGTACATATCACCGTGTATGGACTGTGTACACCTCTCCCCGGAGCAGGTAGGTACATATCACGGTACACGGGTGTGTACACCTCTCTCTGGGGGGGAAGGTAGGTATATATTACAGTGCACAGAGTGTGTACACCTCTCCCCAGTGCAGGTAGGTACATATCACGCTACATCTCTCCCCAGGGCAGGTAGGTACATATCACGGTACACGGGGTGTGTATACCTCTCCCTGGGGGGACAGGTAATTACATATCACCGTGCACGTAGGGAGTATACCTCTCCCCGAGGCAGGTAGGTAGATATCTTGGTACACGGAGTGTGTACACCTCTCCCCGGGGCAGGTAGGAACATATCGCGGTGTGTGTACACCTCTCCCCGGGGGCAGGTAGGTACATAGCTCGGTACACGGAGGGTCTCTATAACAATCACACGATCCGTCACCCCGCACAGCCGCGGCGGCTCCCCGCTGACACACACACTCACCACCTGCAGCCACCCTGCCCGGCGGGCCACGCCCAGCGCTCCCCGCCTCCTCATGAATATGAATGACGCAGCGACGCTCGCGAGTGGCTAGCTCGGCTGTCAGTCTTGCTGCTCACATGTTGGTTTGCCTGGGCTGGGAGAGCTGGGGAGAGAACGATGCAAGGAGTCGGCTGGGGAGCTGCCCTGACAATCCATCCCATGTCTGTGCGCTGCTGCTAGCCGCCCGATGCCTTCAATCCATGGCTGCCCGCCTGCCGCCTCTCCCCTGAGCTCGCTGGCCATGCTCTATAGACCCGGGGGCGGCGGCCACCTGACAGCGGTGGGCTTCCTCCTGCTAACTTTCTGGCTTCAGGTAAGGCTGCCCTTCTCCTAACGGTCTGTGCCCACCATGGCAAAAAAAGGGGGGCATCCCGTACCCCTATAGGGAAGGAGCGGAGGGTGGACGATCCTGATCGCAGCGATCCTTATGGCAGGGCAACAACTTTTCATAGGGGGGAGGGGAAGGGGTCACTTTATGCCTAGCAATAATCTGCAAATATGATTTATTAGAATCAAAGAGGTTTATGCCTCTGATGCCTACATTTGTACAAGCGCAGCTCATGGATGTGTACATGCATAGCAGGTTCAGTACTGGGCATAGATCAGTGATCATAAGTATATTGCACACTGTGCATGGGGGCTGCATGATGGAGTAGGCACAAATGTATCATTTTAAAGGCAGTTGTAGCCTTGGATGTAAATCATCTAAACAGATCAGAACGATCACTATACAGCAAGCTGTAGCAGACCCGTATGGAATGTATACGTTGGAAGTGCTGCGCTCTTTAACGTACTGAGGCCGGTCTATCTTGCTATGTGTTTTGCACGCTGCCCGGATTTTACTGTATTCCTAAAAACTGTGTGACCACCTGGATCCACCTGGATCCATGCTTCTATATAGCACCCGACATGCAATGTATATACGCCGATGAAAACATATGCAGAAAGAATAAATTCCTCTTGTGGCACGGGCTAAAGTTTTTGCTTTGGATTTTAGGATCTCTGCTTGGATTATTTTAAAGGGAGATTTGTTCTGCACCTGGTCGTGTGTGTGTGTATGTGTATATGTATATGTATGTGTATGTATATGTATGTGTGTATATATATATATATATATATATATCGCTTTGTTAATCTGGGGTGTGCAACTATCTAGAGAGCTCTAGGCTTACTCCATGCAGCCCTTCTAACACTGCGAAGGAGGGAATCTCTCTCGCCCCGTGGGCAATCGTGAGACCCCCTTCGTCGCAGTTCGCCTCTTGCCATTGACGAGTTGAACGACCGTCAGCCAATTAATCTGCATTTGTCTCCGCTCCACGGGGGCGACGTGTAACGTGTTCCCGGGGCAGCTCCCAGAGTCTCCGTAGTGATGTGTGCTCCATTTGATGTGTTTATATTTAGGCTTCCCAGTCCACGGGTTATTTCGAGCTGCAGCTGAACTCGCTGAAGAATGTCAACGGAGAATTGTTGAGCGGGGAATGCTGCGATGATCTGAAGAGCGCCCACAACCAGGACTGCACCAAGGATGAATGTGACACCTATCTCCGAGTGTGCCTCAAGGAGTTTCAGGCCAAGATCACCCCCACTGGACCGTGCAACTACGGTTCTGGACTTACTTCGGTGCTTGGTGGAAATATTATCTATATGAACAACAAATTCAACCAGCAGGGTAAAAACCCTGGGGAGAACGGCAGGATTATTATCCCTTTCCAGTTTGCATGGCCGGTAAGTTCTATATTTATAAATATAGATATTAGTGTTTATTTGTTTTTCCTCAATATTTGTTGCTGCATTGTTTGTGTTGACTGGTGTCCTTGCAGGGCAGGATGTTCACTTCCTCTCTGGTGTTGTACTGCCCAGATGTCTATCTCCTGATAAAGGAAACCCAAATCTGACTTTTTTTTTTTTTTTGTGAGGGGATTGATTGGATTTGCTTGGAATTCATCTCCTGGTTATTTCTCGGACGTAGTGCAAGTTCAGATTCTAGTTGTTGGTCTACCTTTGTGTTGAAGCCTGGATCATGGTTTGCTTTTTTTTTTCTTTTATCAGAAACTCTCATTTCTCTTCCTGAGTGAAAAAAGTTGTCCGTTTTTTTTTTCTCTCCCCCCTCCTTTGTTCAGCGTACACTAGTGATTAACCTTCTCTGGAAGGAAATTGCTTGCCTGCAATTCACCTGAGTTTGCATGGATACCAAGCACCTGGGTGTCTTGTTGTAACACCGGTTTGAAGATTAGAATTTGCAAAGGGAGCAGCGTTGAGTGTACACGCTGAAAGGTTGCTAGTTCAGATGGCAGCTATAATTTGCTTTTTCAGCTCCAGGTCTCCCTTTACGCCTATTAAAAGCCGAAATATCAGTAGCCTAAGACGGGAATTGATCTTTAAATTTGTGTAGCTGTTATGTTCGAAGCCCTTTAAGTGACTTTTTAATCTTCTTCTTTTTTTTTCTTTTAATAAATGCTCTTATATGCTGGGCTGACGGGGGGTTGATTTCATGGTGCCTTGTGTACAGCGGGGGGAGGCTGTAGGCTGTGTTACTGTATTTACCTGGGGAATCGAGAGACCAGAGAATGCAGCCTGCAGAGAGGCTGGCTCTGAGCTGCATAGACTCCTCCGGGGAATGCATTGTCACCTTGGGGGTGTGTTGCGCAGTTGGCTCGTCGCCAGCGTGAGGCTTGGGACGGGTGGGGGAGGGATGAGGCGATTGCGACACGAGCGCATGGCGTGCTGGTGTTTGAAGCACACACACTTCGTAGATTAAGTTTGAAGCCGGCCACTTTCCAAGTCCAGGGCTGTGTGTGAACCAAAGCCAGTTGCGGAAAGTATGC